AGAAGCGAAAACTAATGCCTGAAAGTATGCTGGGGTAATTGGATTTGGGATGATTCATGCTTAAACAATGTTGAGCACACTTCGAAGTGAAAACACAGCTCAATATGTATACGAAAAACGCAAACAACCTCAATAGAGCCCAAGCCTTCCTTATTTCACTCCGCCATCCACAAGCAGCAACTTCGCAAAATCGGGGGATGTGTGCTGCTTGCGCAGCTCGTTTAATAGAAGCCACCGGTCGTCTTGAGAAGAGCTTTTTCGCAATTGAGCTACCAGCGGCCATTAAAATAGTGTTGCCATGGTGAAAGCGTGGTATTTTGCTAAATGTGTACGGTTTCGCTTCTTCTTAGTACACTTTGTTGAGGATATGAGTCCTTAATGGGTTAAGGCAGCCCCACAAAACCTGGAAAGTTGGCAACGCGTCGACAAGCCTCGTTGGATCTTAGATTTAATTTGAAGACATCCTAAAAGCATCCATCAAATCGAACTTCTCAAGAAATCAACAGCATTTACATATGTACATTGTAAGGGTTTTAAATGTCATTAATTATCTGTTTTCCTTATCCTCATAAGGGTGCCCAATGCTCCATTCTAATAATTGTACCTTGTTGCAATTAATAAATATTTCAACGGCAGTTTGCATCTCTGTTAATCATAAGGCTTACTATTCAGTTAGCTGAAATGTGAGTCAATATAAACGACATGAGTTCTGAGTATTGACGACGACGTTCTATTTATACTACAATTTTGACACAATTCATTTGCGAAATTCTGCTCAGCATCCAAATGTTTGCTGACAAAGCATATTAAGTGGACCTTAAAGTGGCGTAATACGACCCTTGCATTTATTTTGTTTTGCTTTGCTTATATTAGGTCAAGTAAAAAGTTTTTTTGGTTTTTATTGATTTTTCAAAATATGATAACTTTGTGTACATTTTTCCGATTTAAGTCAAATATTGCCAATGAGATGCTAACTTGATGGCAACTTTATTATACCCCTCTCGCATAAGGCTGCTCCCCTATTGGCAAAAAACTCGGAGAGCCAATTTGCACAGGCCTCTCTTGCGGCCAACTTCTCGCCATTAAGCACGTTCGCTATGAACAGGAAAAATGGTAATCACTTGTTGCTAGGTCCGGAATATAAGTTGGGTGCATTAGGACCTGCCATCTGAGCTCCTTCAGCTTCTTGCGCATCAACAAACACGTGTGTGGTCTGTCGTTGTCCTGACTCTTCTGGATGAGTGCTGCCTTCAAGCGGTCCATTCGTTGGCAGTAGAGGGCCGAATGGAGCGTTTGGCCATAGGGAGCAGCTCAATGCTGTCGCAAGTGTACCATTTTTCATGGCCAGTCACAACTCGCTTTAGAAACAGGTCCATTTTGTTGCGACTCAGCTGGGATTAGCAAATAGAAATTCGGTCCCTCATGTTTTTTGCGTTAGTTCGTTTGGAACCCAAACATCGAGCTTCTTTTTGAATCCAAGGCTCTGCAAAGGGTTCCAAACGGTTTTCTGGCTTATCTTTAGCTCCTCAGCAATTAAATAAATGCTCACATGACGGTCTGTATCCACTAATCGATTCAAATAAAGATTTGATGCATTTTTCTGGATTTTTTGTGTTTTTTTTTTTGAAAAACTTTCCTATAGCTCTTAAAAAATTACATTTTATCTTTCAAAGTGTTACTGATATATATCGCTGCGTCTATCATACTGTTGCCTCGTTACAATAGCACAGTTAAACAATTTCTGTGCCATCGTTCAATCCAGATGTCTAGAGTAATTCAAAAAACAGAAGCTTTTTCAATTCGCTCCTTGTACAATTCCATTATAATATTAAATTTTTTTGCTAACGTTGAAGGTATTTTATACTCTTTCATTAGCCTTATAAAACCTTCACCTCCGACCACGTGGAAGGGGTCTCAAATTCTTGCAACTGAAAAATAAAATCGACGAAGAAATCTTATCACCTTTTGTGCCGTCTTTGAAAATTTTGAATTTATTTTAAAAATCGTAAAGAGTTATTTATCCAAAGGTATACCTTTGCATAGGGCTATATTGTCAAAAACAGTTTTTATGGAAATCACCTTGCTGTCACAAGTATTTCGGGTCAAAAATTCTCAGTTATGGAACTGTGTCCCTACTAAATAGTTTCAAGTTAAATTAGTATTTTTAAGTTAGTGCAAATTGAAATTATTAATTAGGCCCCAACCTTTTACGGTGGGCTTTGACTACAGGGTTAAATTAAATATATTAGTTTAAATAAATTTGCTATATCCCAGTCGAAGTCCATAGCAGCACATCAAAAGCCGACAGCCCAAACTGATAGACCCTTTGTCGAAGTTGCCAAGTAGCATCTCACGCTAGGGGTCGTAGACCGGGGGCACCCGGACGGGTGCTTTTCTCCTGATAACTGGAAATCTGTGCTGATGGTTCTATGTAGGGCGTACAAAGGGATACTGCAAAGATGTTTTGGCCCTGCACCCGTAGTGCGTGACGCAGTGTGACTCAAAAATCACCGTGAACTTGTGGCGTGCGCTGAAGATAGAAAGGTAAAACTCTGAAAAGAGGTTAGGTCGGTGTGCTCTGGCCTGTGCCAGACTTAGTGGCTGTGCATAGGGATGAGATCCTTAGCAAGTCGCGAGCCCTCCGATCTCAAAAATATTCCAGAACTCATCAAACTTGGCAATAAAGAGCTACCCACTACTGATTGGAAGATAGTCCACGTTGGCGAAGTCAAGTAAAAGAAACGCATTGTAAGATGTATCATAAACTAGTTTAAAGTCTTTTTAAACCTATATAGGAAAGGCAAAACGAGGTTCTTGGACGGCCTTCTGTAGTGAAAGCGAAGGAAATGCGAAAGACAATAGACATAGGAAAGTCCTCTCCTAGAGCTCTTCGATCCCAAATTTCATCCACAAACCAAATGATATATACGGCATCTTGTAAAGGAATGCTGGAAATCTTCGTGAACCCCGTTTTCCGGGATGTCCTACAGGACTCGACCAAATGATACGGAAAGGAAGTGAGCGGTTCTTTGACATTAGCAGCATTGCCTGACGCAAAAGGTTTGGAATGGGCGATTAGGTGTTTCCAACCCTACAAATCTCCAGGATTAGATGGAATCTTCACCGATGAAATAAAAAGGGCTGAGGAACCCACAATGTCAATCCTTGGTACTTAAAAATCTTTGAAATGCTGCTAGACAGCTACATACGCAGGAATCTTCGCCCAAACAGCTTCTCGAGGAAGCGGCATGCTTACTTCAACGGTAAGCTTGTTGATATAGCCCTTCATAATTTAGTCGGGAGCATCGAAAAAGCACTTGCCGTGAATACACTTAATATTTTCCTCTATATCGAGAGTGCTTTCAAAAACATTTTCTCTTCCTCCGTAATAGAGGCTCTTCAGGAAATTGGTGTTCAACAGTCCAAAGTGAATCTTGTAGAATCTCTTCTGAGGAACCTTTAAACCACCCAAACTAAAGGGGGTGGAAATAACGCACTCTCCCGAACGCGGCAGAAGGACACAGGAAAGCTATAACTGCCCTCTAGGCCTGCAAAACCGCGATAGGAAAGAGATCGGGTCTAAGACCGATTATCGTGCACTGGATATACACATCGGTAACTAGACCAATCCTACTAAACGGGGTCATCGTTTGGTGACCAGCACTCGTTAAAATCACTTTTCTCCTGATACTCCCTCGAAAGCACTGCTAACTTCTCTCGACTTCCTTCCTCTGAACCTATATGGCAAACTACAAGCGGGTTGCAACGCAAAAAGATTGAATGCAAATCAACTTTGGAAAAATAGCAGTATAGGACATACAAAAATATTAATTCTTACAGAAATGCTTAATGAGCTGGACTACACCCCCTCCAGTGTATGCGCAAATCTACAGCATCAGGACAACTGGTTACAATTTACTCCGATAGTCAGACTGCAATCAGATCTCTTTAAAGTAACGAAACCACGTCAAAAGTGGTCATTAACTGTAGAAATGCTCTTAACAAACTCTCAACGAAGTGCCATGGTCTGGGTACCTGGACACAGGGACATCCTAGGCAATTGCATGGCAGGCGAACAAGGGAATTAACACTTCTAATTACCGTAAAACAGGCACATGATGCTGGTTTACCTCTGTCCATGGCTAAATATATGCTTAAACTGGTCTTCAGTAGAGAAGCTGATTTCGTTGAAGGAGATCACGTGCAAAGTGACCAGACAGCTAGGACCGAATTTGGACGCAAAAGAATCTAAACATCTTAACCTTCTAGACCGGTTCTCCATTAACATAACGACTGGTTAATAACTGGACACTGTCTAATGGGCCTTCACGGGAATATAATGGACCATTGCTTTAACGATATGCATTCTGAATAGAACTATACGGTTGTGATTAATGATTCGATTTATATAAATTTGATTAACTTTTTTGCTTCGATATTAATGTATGTACTTTATTTCCTTTAAGTGGGTCAGAAGCTTGGTTCAGTTAGCATAAAATTTAGACGAGATAGTTTTCTGCGTAAATTAAATCTACCTATTATAATTATAATAGATAATAATTATTTCCAGGAAGTTGAATTCGACGAAAATTGGTATTAATATATTTCCGGGTTATTTTGAGGTTTACGGTGCTATTATATCTATGTCGTGCTCAGCTTCCAAGTCATTAATATTCACATTTTCTTCGGAGACGTTAAGTAGCGAAAAAACTTCTTATCTGTAACACGCACTTTTTTAAATAAGTAAACAGTTTATCAGCCGCTGCAATATACAAACGCCTTAGAACTTTTAATCACTCTTTACCTATTATTCTTTTACAATGCCAATTATAAATCCTAAATAACCTGAGGCCGAGCTCAGAAGTACTAGTACAAAATGAACAGAATTTTCACCTCACAAGATCTATTACTTAACTTCCTAAAAACAGTTCAACTTACTGCATCCATATAAAGCTTGATCACACTGGTACTGTAATCATAACTGACCCTAAGAATTGTATTTAGAGGTCCAAACTTAGTTTAATATTTTTTTTTTTATTATATCCGTTCTTTATGTGAGCTTTATTTTTTTTATAATGAAAACGTACCTCATGCGAATTTCCGGTTCCAAAATAAATTGGAACAAACGCCAGCCATATAATACACGTAGTGTACATAGTGAATCCAATAAATTTGGATTCGTTAAAATTTTCTGGTATTTTGCGAGTTTTAATTGCATAAATTGTGCAAATCATTATTAGTATCATGTTGTACAATTGAGAGAATAAAAATGACATATCTTGAATTTTGCATTTCAAAATAACTTCAGTTCGATCTGGGTAATAAAAACGTGTTCCCGGCGGTTCCACTATCATCCAAATCATCGTGATGAGAACTTGAACAGCTATAAAGTAAGAAAAACTAGGTTAATATGGTAACATATATAAAACTATTTAAAGTTAATCCTGTATATATGAACATTTGGATACATGAACTCACCAATAAGGGATACCGTTATTACCACCTGAGATTGGGGACTTATATATTTAAGACGCTGAGCCGATTTTGACGCTGAATGGAATATGCGTGATATTCTGTTGGTTTTGGTTAGCAGTGCGCTATAAATGATAGAAAACCCAACTCCAATACCGAATCGTTGTAGAACACACGATATAATTGTAGGCTTGGCTATCAATGCAAATGTATTGCAATAGCAAAACAAAATGCCAAAGAGTAAAGTATAGCTTAATTCTCTTCCTGAAGCCCTTACAAGCGGTGTATCGTGATTTTGAGCAAATAAGGCAATGACGGCAACTGTCATTATGATGCCTAATGATGCAATCGCCAAAGGTATTAGAGCAAATAAAGATTGCCAACGTATATATTTGACCTCCAATGCATAGCAAGATAGCTTATCCGAGTATGGCCAATAGCCGGGTCCACAGTCCTTGCATGTAAACTCATTTAACACATACTCATATGGCTCACAGTTGTCACATATCCAACAGCACGTGTCTCCCTGCATTAAGAAAATTAAAAAATCTTTAAATCATATACGCGAGATAAGTATGTATTTATAAAAATAATGTTGTTTTCAGAAATTGAGATAAAGTCGCGACAAATAGGACGGTTTGAAGAAGATTGAATACTAAATATTCGTAGCATCCCTCAAAGATCGTCAGACAAAAGTCTACAAAGAAAAGTTAAGAGCTATTCTTATTTTCTTGCGTAATTCTTATCCTTTGGCTGTACCGAAAATGTCTTTCATTAAAGTCACATTACTTTCCTAATACAACATATAAGATAGGGGAGTAAAAAAATTGTTTGTAAATGTGTAACAAAACTTATTTTTTTTATCTAAAGTAATCACTAATAAAACCACAAAAACATTTCTTCCTCCTAATGAGATCCTTTCTGTACTTCTAAGATTAAAATAAGCATTTCTTTGATCAGTCTGTCATTGTTACGACGATCCATCTTCTATCGTATTTTATTCATCTACTTAATATCTAGGAGAGATTGTTACCTTCGCTGAAAATATGAATATAAAATTACAATTGTACCTTTAAATATATTACGCAATATGAAGCGCGACATGCTTTCAAAATTATTTTGACAATTTGATTAAAGTTACGGCCTTCATTATTACGTCCTATGGATCTAGGTTTTGAGGGTGCCGAACATATCCTTCCCATTTCATGCGTTCCGTACCCATTAGATAGTTTGCAGTCACGGGCATCCCACTGTATTCGAACGAAGCCTCCCGGATACCGGTCCATGGGATCTGCCGTAGTCGACCGTTTCAATCTCCCTTCCCCTTTTTTCAGGTCACCTAAACGTCTCAACTCAGTAGGTGAGCAAAGAAGCAGATGAAATGCCAAAACAAAATTTAGCCCCGGATCCCTGCATGGACAGGGCGTAATGAAAACAAGTATCCAAAGAAACCCTGGGCCTGCACCCGTAGTAGGGAACACAGGGTGGATCAGAGGCCGCTTAAAGCTTGCACCGTATGCTGACGATAGAGCGGTAAGACTCAAGAAGGAGGCTATCGCTGAGGTTGGATAGCCCTAGCCTGTGGCAGATTTAGACGTTTTGCACAGGGACGAAGTCCTAAGTAGGCCACGGGCCTTAACTTGGGTGAGGTCAAGGAGAAGCAGCATTTTGTGAGACTCCTCTTAGCCCTCGTGGCCTGGAGTGAAGTCATAAGCTACGGCTTTTACTACATCATCCTAAAAATCCACAAGAATAATGAGAAGCAAATCAAGACCAGAGGGAAAGCGGCTCTACCTTGCAAAAATTGCAGTAAAGGATACACCAAAATAGTATCTCGTGCAGAAGTGCCAAAGGAGCTAGACGATTTGAAAATCGTTTCTCAACGAGAATCCAAACAGAGGGTTGAAAACTAGCGACGCCCTTGACCAGGGAGCCATAGCTATCTTCACAGATGGATCGAAGCTTGATGGAAAAGTGGGCTGCGTAGTTTATTACCACATGCTCTCATTAAAATGAGCGTCAGACTTCCAGATCACTGTAGCGTTTTCCAGACGGAATCTCTGAAATCATGGAGGCCTCCGACAGTCAAGCTGCAATCAGATTCCCCCAAAGTAATTTTCTCAACAAACTCTCCGCCGCACTGCCGTTGTCTGGGCACCTGGACAAAGAGACATCCAAGACAATCTCATGGCGGACCCATTCCTCACGATACCAACGATTGAACATGCACTCTGGTGCTGATGCTGGTTTACCTCTGTCCACGGCAAAGAGCATGCCAAAACTGGCTTATTCAATAAAAGCTGATTTAAGATGGTTGAACAAGATCACGTGCAAAGCTATGGCCGAGACTGAACGCGAAAAAATAAAAACTTCCTGTCTTTCTACACCGGTCTTAATTAATATAGAGACAAGCATAATAACTGGACGCTTTTTAATTGGGCTTCACGAAAAAATAATGGGATATCACTCTTATGATTTTTGCAACAGCTGTACTGAAGAAGAAGAAGAGGAGTACACACAGCACCTCTGCCGCTGTTGATCGTTGACATCAGCGCGGCTCGAGTTTCTTAGGAAACATTTCTTCGACTGTCTCCCTGGAATAGTCTCAGCGAATATTGGAAATCTTTTTTCCTTTATAAGGCACACGAAATTGTTCTATGATCTGAGAAGATGAGGGCAAGAGCCTCAGCGGTATCACACTGGGCATATTGGCCTAAGTGTGCTGAGATTGACCAGCAGCCGCATCAACGCAACTCAACTCATATGCCATCACCTTTGCGTCTGACAGGAAAGAACTTCGGCTTTAATTATTTGAAGAGATTTCCATACTTTGGAAGTGATTTATTAAATAAAGACATCAGCAGAAAAACTTTATAAGAAAGTACCAAAGTTTAATACCGGATGTTTTCTTTGCCAACATTAAGCTCTTTCTGGCAAAGTGATATTTCCAGTGTCATGCTTAAGATCCCAGTAGAAATTGCGCCATATTATAATAATAATAATAATAATAATAATAATAATAATAATAATAATAATAATAATAATAATAATAATAATAATAATAATAATAATAATAATA